AACCCCACTTACTGTTATAATTGCATGCGGTGTTTCAAGAGCGCAAGCCGTGTTATTTTCGTGTACAAAGTTCCCTATATTTTTGTTAGGGTATTAAAAGGAGATTAAATGCGCCTCACCAAATTAAGCCGTGAATTTGACGAATATTGTCAACTTTACATCCCACATTAGTAAATGCGGATTCATAACGTTGTATGAACGTCCACTTCACGGTATTACAAAATCTCACAAACGAAAGCTTATCAAAATCGCACCGAACTCGTTTTTTGAATATAGAATTAAAAGTAGACGCAATTTTCTAGCGCATAGGTAAAGGAATTTATAGTTTCATAAATTTTTGTGCATGCAATATAATTGAAATTTTAATAACATTGAGAGTAAAAGAGAAAGTTGAATGCTGCCTAAATAGTCAATTTTATCAGCATCGTTGTTTCATGCAATCGAAAATACGTTCATTCAAAAGAAGACACCCGGAGGTAAATGGATCATTATAGAATTATGCAAGATGGTGGTGAAATTTACTACCGTATTTAATTAATCTTTTTGAATTTTCCGCCGACATTTTATGAGTCCGTCAAATAATTGTAGGTTATTTGGCTCTGTCCAACAGTTGCTCCTGTCTCCTCACCTGTGTGGATCTTTTCACTAGGTGACCATAACGTTCGCCGTCATGGTTGTCTCTCAGTAGATAAAGACGTTCAACATCCAGCGCAGAACTCGCGAAGTCATCATGTGCTGATGTCCCGGACACATCTTCGGTCTATACTCGTAGTGCTTCTTCACCGTACCATCCTCTATTTTCCATCTTGTTTATGCCCTTTTTCTCAATTTCCGCTGCCATTGACTTAAACCTTCTTATAAATGCCAAGTACGAAATCAGAATTGTTATCCGCTTTTAACTTTTTATCTTCATTAATAACCTTCAGTGGGCATTACATTCATTTTCCTGACCGTCCATTACTCATTTTTAAAATTCCACATATTCTTCCGGGGCGTTCTAGCACGCCTTCCGGGCTCGGTGGTACTGCTCCAAGGTGTCAGACTAACTTGGCTTTACCTTTACTGGTTGTTTCGATAAACAGACACAGAGTCGTGCTGTACCGCACTTTTTTGCGACCATTACACTTATCTGCGAATATCTGTGATGATGGTTTCGAGTAAGAATCCGAAATGGCGGGCCAGAAACGTACTTGTTCCAGTGATCGCATCTTCGTCTTATGGAAACAGACCCGTTGTAGTTTCGTTATAGGGCGGGTGTTATAGAACTTCAAGTCGTTTGGGGCTAGATTATTAATATGTACACAATTACCAATATACCGTAGATGGGCTAACTCATACCGTACACGGAAATTTGGAAATGCATTTCCGTTTGCATACGATTAATTAGGTGTGGTAGCAAAACCAATCATTACGCAGCATAATTCTCTAATAACGCGGTTACCTCAGACTACCGGCTGCATGCGCAAATCACGCTCTGTAAAAAGAACACTTAATCAGAATACGTCTCTTTCACTTATTGTCGATGTCCTTAAAATTAGATTATTTTTCATTTAAAAAATGCATAAGACATATCTATACTTTTTGCTGAGTATGATGTCTACAGAAGATTAAGAATAAGTACATTGACAATCGAAATAAAATAGGTCAAGTCTGATATGTTATAGGATAATACAGCAATATATTCAGTATTGAAAATTCACCTAAGTTATTCTTTCTAATCGAAAACGCATTTCAATTTAGGCTAGCATTTTATGAGGACGGTCGCTCACCGTACTGCATAAGTGCATGATTGCATACACTCGTATGGTTTGAAGGCAAATGCGTGCTTTTTAAATATAGTTCTCCAGCCCAAGGCTCATGCATCTTGTCAGAAACTTTTTCTAACTAGCAGAAAATCTAAAGGAGCTCGTTAGAATGCTCTACATGAAGCAAAACTGATTCCATCAGTATTTTTTATTTTTCTCCCCAAAAGAGCATTATCTGCGTTTAAGAAGTTTGTGATTTTGTTTTAATTTTTCCAGATCGTGAAATGTCCACACAAAATTATCGTACTTGTCCGTCTAGTAATTTTTCCCCTGGATTACGCAACACAGATCAAGAAGACAACAAGTTTGAAGATTGCCGCTATTACGCTTTACGCAGACAAATAGAAATGACTTGTAAAGCGCAATTAAACCCGCCCAAAAAGGGGATGAACACTAACTGCAAAAATTCCTACAGCGGATGTTGATTTGCAAAATGGATGTATAAAACTAATATAATAAACCAATCAGAAAAAGCATACAATACCAGTTCAAATGACTGAAAAGGTCTCATGCATGAAGATTTTACACGTGCAGGCAGGTAAACAGAAATAGTGACAAATTATGCATTGCCGAGTCGATCATTTTGGCGTCAGATTACCTTTTCCTGAGTCCAATTGCAGGGGCGTTGTCAAAACTTAGTCAATACACCGAAGGCGGAGGAGGGTGGGGTTGGTGGGGGGAGGTGGGGGCGGTTGGCACGACCGAACCCGCATCTGAACGCATCACAACGTCCCCTGATTGACAACAAACAGGTTAATGAATTTTTCGAATAGCAATAACAACAATTGAAAGAAAATCGAATGCTGGGCAGCCATGTACATGACCTGTTTCCCGGCGGGAACGCAGGCGCACCTACCGTCAGGGAGCCAGGCGGCAAAGACCTGTCAGCGCACACTACGCTACGAGTTGTACGGCTTGTTGAATCATGGAAAAGAAGATGCACAAACACACACGCACTCAAGGCCTCTGAGCAAATCGCACAGCCAGTATTTGCTTCTATGCGCATACTTTTTGCTTATGTGATATTTTTAAATAAATGAAGACAGACGCACAAAAAGACAGTTTATCCGCCATCGAGAAGCATGACCTGCAGTCGGTTTATTGTACTGCTTACGTTGATTCAGCAAATGCGGCTAACGTTGTCCTGTCGGAAGGTCTTGGAAACGTGTAGGTCATATTACTGCGACTCTTTCCTAAACACTATCTACCATTGTTCCTTATTATTTATTTTAGTCTCTGGTTCGCCTACGAGCGAATTTTACATCGCAATCTGGATTTATATGCATGGGGGACTATGCACGGCAGCAGTGTAAAATGTAACGAATTTTTTTACCATTGCATGAACTTTCGTGCAATAAGAGTGCACTGGCATTGTAGTCCTGGATAGCCAGTATTTATTTGGAAATAGAAACCGTAGATCTTTCATTTACATTTAATTTTGATGATATTGGCTTTAAGTGAGTGACTGATTTCATGAAATGTTGGCCGAAGTTCTGGTATTCTGAATTTCTGAAATTAAGATTAGAAAGCTTTTTTGTGGTTGCTGTAAAATTCTTATCTTCCGGCACGATACACTTATATGGGGGACGTAGATGGATAGGGGCTTTAGAATTTACTTTCTTTTCATCTTTCTGTTAAAAGCGTAGTCGGCAATTAATGGCCGCTTAGTAGCGTGCATTTTCACATTGATTGTCTACGGTCCTATACATTCAAATATGTTTTATTAATCTTATTTACAAACATGTGCCTTTTACTCGAGACGTAGAAATTTTTCGGTCTGTACACATATTTTACCCGACGAATGTGTATATTAAGGTTTTGAACAATCTTTCCACAACCCATTAATTTTCGAACCTGTTTAGATATTGCATTAGCGTTTGCCGGTTTTTAATGTGAAAAGCGCATTCCTCCCTCGTAAATAAATTGAAATATTCATCTTTGCCTTTAAGGAGATAGTATATAGAGTTTATTAAATTTCGCAGTGAATGCAGACTATGTTGCCCATTTTTTAAGGAGCATCTGCAAACGCACATGTACGGCTCTTTACGCATACCCGTCGCAAGGGATTAAAAAGCTGATATCAAAACGTTTATTTAAACGAAAATGTCCCATTTTGCAGGGTATATAATTCGTTAAAAAATTCACTTCCTAGGGAACAAGTAACAAACAGTTTAAATTGTGCCAGTTTTCTGCAGGGTATATTTAATTGAATATGACTGTTAAAAATGAATGTAAAAACGCGTGCACACTACGTGGTGATTGTTGCGGAGTTTGAATTCTGCCAGAGGCCGAAAAGACGTAAAGCCAAAAAGACTGAAAGACTACAGAATTACACGGCATGTTAAACACCATTACCACATCGATATAGGCAAAGAAGACTGAAATGTTTATTTCCGGCTTATTAGTCGTCGTCAGCCAGTCATACCTAACCACGAAGTATGGAACATCCGGGGCTCCAACTCGCGACCCGTTTGTTAGAATTCCACGCCTCCAGCCACTGGGCTACGTTGCCTTGACGTTTTCGATCGGGAATATAAAGTGGTGCCGTGCGATCGGTGACCGCCCTCTACCATTGTATATTCCGGATCTAAACCGACACGGCCACGGGCTGGTGTCTCAGTGGTTACAGGCGTGGACTTCAAATAAACAGCTCGTGAGTTCGAGTCTCAAGACTTTCACAATTCGGGGTTAGGTATGACTGGTTGACGACGGCTAATAAGCCAGAAATGGCCATTCTAGTCTTTCTTGCCTTTGTCTGTAATGTCATTCTGTCTATATCATGCGCCGCTGTGCGGCTGCTGGTTGGAGTTGGAAGAGAGCCCATAAGGCACAACGGAACGAATAAGTTCCTTATGAACTATCGGTCAGCGCCAATTACTATATCAACCCCACCTTAATAATCCTTCATAATTGGAGACACCTTTTAGACTTTCGGCCAAAATTTTATCAAGTCGGTGAATTACTCTATGGAAATACTTTGCATATTTAGGAATTATTCGAAAGCTTACATTTATAAGTAATGTGGGTTGTTTGCGCCACCTCGTACACATACGTTGGCCACGCCTACATTTTAAAGCCTTAAGGGACAAGCAGTAGTTTTTTTCGTCAAACATACCTTGGCATGATTTGCAGTTGGTAGGTTGCCTCATAAAATATAAATCGAATTTCCCACATGCGTTGCTCTTTCCACAATAGTCATAAATTTGGGTTGCACGACTGAGTATTAAGGAAATGCCGGAAATGCTTCACAGTCAGGTAAGTGGCAAGTACTTCACGGCCAAAGGTACTGTAGCGTGTCTCAGCTGGTAAGAGCTTTTTGGAGAAAAAGCCAAGTGGTCGAGTCGAACCAGCAATGCGTTGTTGAAGGACTGCACTTACGGCTACGGTCGAATCATCTACCATCAGAGACAGCTGAGCTTCGGGAGCGGGATGTGTGAGTAAGGTAGCATCAGCAAGGGAATTCGTGCTTCTCTCAAAAGCTGTCAGTGCTTCACCAGTTAGCTCGAGGGGACCTTTGGGACAAGAAAGCATGTTGGTGAGCGGCAGCATGAGGTCAGCAGAGTTTGGTAGGAACCGACAGTAAAAATTGACCATGCCGAGGAATCGCTGTAACTGACGCTTGGAAGTTGGAGGAGGAAAATTACGAACTGCTTCAACCTTGGAGGGGAGGGGACGCAAACCTTCAGACTCGACCTTATCGCCAAGGAACTCCAGCGAAGGCACACCCATCACGCACTTGGAGGGGTTGATGACAACGCCAAACTTGTCAAGGCGGTCAAACACCAAGGAAAGGTGTTCTTTGTGTTCTTCTTCATTCCGGCTGGCCATCAAGAGGTCATCAATGTAGGCGTACACAAAGGGTAGGCCACGTAAGACATGGTTAATGAACCTTTTGAACTTTTGAGCGGCATTACGAAGACCAAACAGCATGCGGACGAACTCAAATAGACCGAAGGGTGTGGTGACGGCGGTTTCAGGGATGTCCGCAAGGGCGACTGGACTCTGATGAAAAGCACTCGCCAGATCAATCATCGAGAAAACTGCTTTGCCGAAAAGGGCTCCAACAATGTCCTGAAGATGAGGCACAAGGTAGCGATCAGGAATGGTAGCGCTGTTGAGGGCACGATAGTCGCCACTGGATCGCGAGTCGCCTGATGTTGCCTGGGGCACCACGTGCAGTGGAGACGCCCGAGGGCTCTCGGAAGGTCGAATTATTCACAATTGCAGCATGTGTTCAAACTCCGCCTTTGCGTCCTGAAAACGCTCCGGTGATAGTCGTCTCGGTCGAGCAAACAGGGGAGGACATGAGGTGCGGATGTGGTGCACAACATCCTTTTGAACTTTACCACTGCGAATCTGTGGGTTAATTATGTTGGGATGACTAAGCAGCAGTTGCCGAAAAGGACTAGCAATATCCGTATTCAGGACAGATAATTTGGTGGGGGCAGTAAAGAGAGTTAGTCCACGAAAAAACAAACCGGTAGTGCGGTCGAGGAGACGGGCACGTTGGCAGTCAACAAGGAGTTCGAACTCGGCAAGCACGTCCGAGCCGATGATTGCATGAGGGACATCAACAATCAAAATATCCAGGTAAATAACCGACGAAGGCCAATGTTCAGGATGAGGGACGACTGTCAAAAGTGGGAACGAGGGAACAGTTAACAGCTTGAAGATGAAGACCAGGGCTAGGGAAACGACGATCAGCTGCAGTTGGGGGAACAACACTGATTTGGGCTCCAGTGTCCACAAGAAAACGTCTGCGAGTCGCAGTGTCGGAAACATAGAAGGTGCGACCAGAGCCGGAACAGCCAGAAAAAACGGTCGCATCTATTCTCTGGCTGACTGGTTTCCCTGTTTCGGTTAAAAAGTGCAGGGTGAGGAACAATGACGAGCCTTTACGCCGAAATTAGTGTGATACCATCAAGTATCAGCAGTCCGAGGTCGCGAACAAGAACGACGACGGCTGCGTGAGCGACTGAAAGCTATGCGGTCGAGCTGTATTTTAAGGGAGGCCATGTCATCTGCCATGGCCGAAACCTGTTTCAATAAATTTTCATTCACTGACGATGAAGATGAGGAGATCTTGGCAACGGAAGGTGGCTGGAATCGCTGCACCTCTATTATTCGATCCGCCATCTCAGCCAGCTGTGAGACCGTAAGGTCTTCAGAGGCGGAAGCCATGATCGTTTGAACATCTGCGGGCAGACGTTCTAGGAAAATCTCCCTGACAAATGTATCGTCTACTTCCATGTCTCCAAAGAGAGATCGCATTCGACGTAGAAGCTCTGAAGGCTTCCAATCACAGAGTGACTCCTCCTTAAGTAATTGGTGATACCGCTGTCGGTCCGATACTGAATTAAGTCGTAGAATTTCCGCCTTTAACGTGGAGTAAGGAGCATCAACAGGAGGATTAGCTAGCAAGGACTGAACTTGAGAGATGACACTATCGGGGAGGAGCTCCACAAGTTTGTGGTATTTTGCTAGTTCCTTGGTAAGGTTGGCAGAATAAAAGGTTAATTCTATGCGGATGAAGTAAAGTTCTGGAGCGTGTTGCCAGAATTTAGGCAAGGTAAAATTGATTGCATGAAGGAACTGGGCGGGGACATCAAGTTGTTGATTGAAGTGAGACATAATAAGAGACAGATGGCAAAATATCAGAATTCGTGAGGAAAGTAAATGTAAATTGGATAGCTATTCACAAACAAAAAAACGCTAAATCTTATGCAGTACAACAGAAAGGTATAGTCTGCGTTAACGGCGGGAGTTATCAATGTCGTAAGAGGTAATGTTCTCACGAAATAGCGAGTTATATCTCACTAGCCCCTAGCCTTAAAGGCAGCAAGTAAAACGGAACAGTGAATAATATAGATATTTTGAACGTTAAGAAAACTGAACAATTGAACACGCTAGCAAGGCGGGTTGTACAGGTGTGTCGTTTCTCGTCACATTCAAACAAGCAATCGGGTCAAAGAAAATGGGAGTAAGTTGTCAAAGGTAAATTAGTCAGGTACCTCACCACATGGTTATCATACAGCGTATGTCTACATAAATTTAATTACCCCAAGTTGCGGCCTTTCGAACGAAGTTTTGTCCGTTTGAATGCAAATGCCGCACTCTGTATCAAATGAATACATTAAAAGGAGACATTTTTCCCATTGGTTTTTTTATATTGCATACGAAATATTATACGAATATTCAGTCCTTTGCTCATTCGATGGAACACTATGTTTTCTTTCACTATTTACTGGGAAAAAGTGGATGATTCGGTTTTTAAACTTTCCTAATTTCCGAATATTTTTTCTAACACTATTAGCCCTTACACTTGCGTTTTTTAATCTCCAAACTACAATATTCATATATGCTGCGTGCAGAAAACCATATGTTTCTCCACGGTATTGGAAGAAAAAAATGGGTATCATAAAACTTATCAGTGTATTTGAGCCATATTGGTGATTTTACAGGACAATTTCGTAGATGCGACTACATTAAGTTTTATAAATGGACATTTGGCGATATTAAAGAATCTAAAATTTAAAATTTTTCAAAACTAGATTATGTCCTTCTTTTGAATACAAGATTTGAAGTAGGTGTAAGTTCCTACGAAATAAGAAAAATAGTGAATATTGTGATTTATTCTTTGCATAAATATAATTGCATTTTAAGCGCATCAGCAATCAATTAGTAAGAGGCATGTTGTATAAGTAGTTATTATTTACAAAGTATATGCTTTTCATGCTGTAAAATATCCGCTCAAACGTCCGGCATCCTAAACTAACTGATTTATTAGAATAAAACGCTGCACGCTGATCAATTGTCGATTAAAAGCTTTTTTGTCTTTGATGACGTAATCGAGCAGGAATCCGAAACGTCAGGCTAATAAAGCTATTGTCCCGGCGATCGTGTCTCATTTTTCAATATCTCGAGTTGGCCCACCTACTGCACATCTGTCACATTTTCGCTTACTCAAAAGGAATATGAACGTTGATTTGTTTTATAATTTAACAGTACTTTAACATTTAAAAAGCATACCTTAATTGACTTCTACATGTAACTTTCTTATGTCCGCTTAATAAGACTGGCCACTCTGTCCACGTACCGGAGGGAACGTCTTTATTTCCGATATCTTACTGAATAGAATGCAAGCGATTCCCGAACTTTCAGAAGACCTTCCGTACACAGCCAACAGCAAAACACAATTCCGAATGATGATTCAGCCTCAGCCAGTACTTCGTGCATGCTTCCTTATAAATAACACTGAAGCAGCCGAAATCGTAAGACTCGAATGTACTCTTATTTTTTCACGCATTGACTGCAACGTTCTTCTGAAGGTAAACACTTTTAATTTGATTCGTATTTCTTTATGCCTATCATATGCTATTTTATCGTTTAATTGAAAAAGCCGGTTAAAATTATCCTATATGCGCATTTATCCAGAGATGCAAAAACCGCCTAGTCGCATTTGCTGCCGTTTGTACTGCTTGCTCACCTTAAATATCTGGGCCTAGAACATTATGTATAAATGTCCTCTGTATAATTGCAAAACATGCTCGAAACGAAACAAACCTAGCGACCGACTAGGTTTATGCAGAATGGGTCTGCTCTGAAACGCGTATGGCGTTGTATTTATTGTATGTCATATTTGGTGCATGGACGTTGACCTGATAAACTGCTACAAATATGTCTTTGGTATTCACTGATTTACTTCGTAAAAGTTTATTTCAAGATAATAAGTAAACTCTATGCGTTGTTGGATTAATAGCTTCGGATAAAAGTAACACTTTCCTAAGATAGTTAGTGTATCAAATGAGCCAGCGACCAGACTTTTATGCATTTATTATATGGAAAACAGTGTCCGGTTGCTCCTTGTGGTGCCACACGTATATACCTAAAGCGCTGTTGATTCATTTATGGAATCTGGATCACGACTGACTGGGCTGAAACAAGCTTAAGCTATCAGAGTATGGTCATCCCTGTTTAACAGGCAAGCTGCCTCACTTAAACGTAAACATTTAATTTAACGCTGCAATGTCAACCGAACCGTTATAAAAGTAAACGTTTGGCTTTTATTGAAAAAAATACGCGAGCAAAATAGTAGTTTGAAAGGCAGTTGCATAATCTATGTCAAATTTATTTTGATGAATAAAAACAAAAACTAAATTATGCCTAAAATGGGTTCAGGTAAACGATGGCCTGGCTAGGTTGCTTGGACTCCCGTATCGGACAGCGGATTTGATGAAATTTCACCTTCTGAACTTTTCTGCGGTCGCCGAATTTTACATCATTTCGAGTGAGCTGTCAAAGGAAAGAATATTGCATTTTGATGGAATTGTTTTTTCCAGAATAGACGCAGGCATCACACCGGGAAAAAGGACCACCCCATGGCCTGCGGATTTTCGGTGGAGAAAAAAAACCATTAATGAGCTGAACCAATTAGCATCACATGCGGCTTCCAGCAAGTTATTTTTGACATGTCGCCTGTGAACTAGAGGTTGCATGTGCAGGGGAACTGCAGCTGAGCGTATGTAATATGAAGGCGAATTGGAATTTACAATCGTTACTCTTTGCTGTGTTCTTTATTTCTGTCTTGGCATAAAACCAATCAAATAATTGCCCTGCAGCTTCAACATGAAATGATTTCCGAAAAGACATGCGAGCAATTTTACATTTAGGAATACAGTCTATAGTGCAGAAGGTTTTATTGACAGCTTTAAAAATTCACCGGTAGAGATGATATAGACGGTAGAATAGTCGGTTAGGCTAAACCAGAAAAAAATAATGACCCGAATTGCATGAACACTCGCCGTATCGGCTACATCTGATCATGACATATTAAGATCTTCGTAGAATGATTGTGTGTACTTATGACTTATGTATGAAAACCAACAGTGTAGCATCGATTCAAATGACCTAAGCAGCTCGTATTGGGTATCCTGCAGAGAGACTTGATCAGATACCATACCATACACGTCAGTCATCCAGTCTGTAGACTTAGCATGCAGCACTTTGGAAAGTCTTTGTTGTTTGTGTGTCCAATGCGCTGGCATATGCTTGCAGGTCACATTCAGTAGCTTCCATGGAATATGTTCGATAGAGCTGCCTCTCGGATACCCCGCACATGTTCCACCACACACTTGGGATTGAATGCTATCTAGTTTTCAGGTAGGCGTTTCGACATTTATGCCGCTTCTCTGCCCTTGCGATCTGCACCTCATACAAAAAATGGAAGAGCAGCTGTCCGTATTTGTAAACGACTTAAGCCGAAAGCTATTACCGACGGGATAATCAGCACTGTCTGACCGAACAGTTCGTTAACTCCGCAAGCATTAAACAATATTGTTGTCCTTTGATGATTTCTACAAAATTTAAAGCGGTAACACTTATTGCCGACTGGCAAATTATTAAAAATTACTGTTAATCTCCCTTTTTGGCGCAAATCGTCTCACGTCGCTCAGCCAGTCTGTGGACTTGGCATGCAGCACTTTCGAAAGTCTTTGTTGTTTGTGTGCGCAATGCGCTAGTAGGTATCTCTTGAAGCTAGCCTATATTTGCAGGTCGAATTCAGCTGTTTCCATGGGATATGATCTACAGAGCAGCTTCTCAGACATTCCACGCATGTTGCATGTAAATGACATCCTGTTTTTCAGGAAGAAGTTTTTACATCAATTCCGCTTCTCTGTCCTTGCGATTTGCACTTTATCTAAAAATGGGACGGCGGCTGTTCGACGCTGACCGACGTGATCACCAGCACTGTCTGAACGAAAGTTTAATTGACTCTGTTCGCATTGACAAATATCGCTGTCGTTTATTGTTTTCTGTAAAATGTAAAGCAGCATGGCAAATTGCAGAAGGGCGAATTACTAGCAGTAACCGTCATTCCTCCTTTTTGCCGCAAATCGTCTCATCCTATTGTCTCATTATCTTCAAACGATAATGTATTTATAAATTCTGGACACAACCGGTTCATTCACTCAGTAATCCAATATTTTGTTGCTATTTGCCGTGTGCATATTCTGTCTGCTGAATGATTAAACAGGCAGCACACTTTATTTAGCCGGGACGTTTAGTTAAAATTTTAATAAACAAATGTAATCAATGAGAAGGTTAAGTAATTTATTCATCGTCATGCCCAATTGTACAGTTTACATTTGAGTCCAAACGTGCGTCGTATCTGAATTATATGACAACTCTCAAGAGTCAAATTTGCGATAGTACTGATCAAAGTTATTAACGCTGTTATGTAAGTTCAGCGTAAACACTTAAACAAACATTTGCAGATTATTCTGCCATATTATCGATTTATGTATAGGTCTGTTGGTGAATAACTGAAGGTGAACAATGAATGAACGATTTCATAAAATCTTGGCTTGAATTTTAAAATTCGTTTCACTTCAGTAAGTATTAGTTAGGTTGTATTACAAATTGATTGTCATGGCGCATAATTCAATAGTATTTCAGACTTCTCAAAATGTTAACTTTTCAATGTACATCATGTAAACTTCCCACAGAAACAAAACGCGGGAAAATGCAATGTAGGTTTAAGCATCCTTCTCCATTTATTTTTTGATGGTCTTATAAATGCAAACATACTTTGCAGATATATGGCAGAATAATATTCTTTCATTTACTCGTTT